TTGCAATTTTCCTTCTTAATTCAGAAGTTTTAGCATGGGAATAGAACTTATTGTAAACCTCCGGCCATGTCCGAAGGGATCCAGGTGTGAGAGACATGAACCATTATTTTGTCGCATCTTTCAAAGTGTACGGGAAACACCTCTTCCTTAGTTCATCCTCCGATAGGTCATTCAACGGAAAGTTTTGGGCTACCCCGTAGAAATCTCGGATGAAGGTAAGGGCATCCTCGGTTGCTGAACCGTGAAAAGATGGCAACTGATTGTAATGGATCGTCTTCAGCTCATAATTCCTGGCTGCATTGGGAAACACTAAACAAGAAGGTGAAGTTCCTACTTGGGGCCTACCAAAGTCTTTCATTAGCCTAGGAACGGGCCTAGGGTTAGGGTTGGGGTTGGGGTTGGGTGGAGGAAGTGCAACCATGGTTGTGGGTGTTTCTTGTGGTTATAGTTGTGGTTCAAGAATTGAGTTTTCAGGAATTCGTTTCTTTTTTCTATCCATGCGATCGTCTAAAGGCAACAATTCAGGATTTAAAGAACGACGACAATGCATAAAATAAATAAATGAATGAATGAACAAAATAAAATAGCAAAAATAATTAAATAAATTAATTAATTAACTAAATAAAATAAGCAAGCAATAAAGACACAAGATAAGATAGGTACAACAGTCAAAAGCAAATTGGAAATAGCTAAACAAATGTTATGCAATTATTTGGAAGTAATATTGAGCAAAAGAAAATAAACAAAATAAACGAATTGCACAATAAAGAAGACGAGGAAGAACAGAAAATAAATTGCAAAATAAACAAGTTCCCGGCAACGGCGCAAAAAATTGATGGGCAATTTTAATTATATGTCTTTGCTATTGCACACTATCACTAAAACTGATTCGTGCACTTGCGATGACATATAATTAAAATTGCCCATCATGTGTCTGTATTCTAGGCTTTATTACCTATTATGAAATAGTTAACCTGAACATTCTCCAGGTCAGGGGGATATCCACATTCGACAACTCAATCAGTGGTTTATCCTCGACCCACCAGTCTCTGCAAAAGTCAATGGAGTTCTCATCGCCTACCTTTAGACCTGACAATTCGTGTATACGGGTCCGTTAACGGGTTGACACGATAACGACACGAACACGATAAGGCTAAACACTGACACGACACGTTATGGTTAGCAGGTTCAAAGTTTTAACACGAACACGAACACGATTTGTTAACGGGTTGACACGATAAACACATTTTAAGTCGTGTCGACACGAAACCCGTTTAAACTCGCTATTTCTATTAATATATTTAAAAAATTAAAATTTAAAGTTAAGTTATATAAACAAACAAAAAAACCTACAATTCAATCCATTAAAGAAACTAAAAAATATTCAATTCATAACATTCATACAATGATAAAATAACATCCAAAAAAACATAATTAAAGGAGTAAATACTAGTTTTTAGAATAAAATTGAACACAAAAAAAATTCAAATTTCAAATTGTTAAGCATCAACAATTGGTGTAGGATCTTGGCCTAATGTAGTAAACTCATCCTTAGTCATGTTCATAATATCTTTTGTAATATCATTCATGACAATGATTCTTACCTAAATGACAATGGTTCTTAGCGGGTTATAAACATGTTTGTATAAACGGGTTCGCGTTAATGGGTTAACACGATAATATTAACGGATTAAACGGGTTCTTAATAGGTTTAACGGGTTGACCCGTTGAGACACGAAACATAACGGGTTCTTAATGTGTCAACCTGTTAACGACCCGGGACACGTTAAGGCTAAATACTAATCTATCATTTTCGTGTCCGGTTTCGTGTCGTGTTAACAGGTCGTGTCCATAATTGCCAGATCTACCTACATTCCACTTCGTGCCCCGTTCCAAGATATCTCTACCCTTGAGAATGCCCTTATAGCACCATGAAGTATCTCCATTATTAGACATGGAGAAAAACTCAATTGCTTTCACATATTTTTTCCGAAGAGTCTTCACCCACAACTTATTTGGGCAAAAGGTCACTTGCCAAACCAATTTGGTCAAGAAGGCAAGAGTGAAGTCTCTGGCCCGTCAGATGCCCCCATAACACGGGGCTTACACACTTCAGACCAACTCATTGTATATATTTTCCTGGTGTCTTCTGAGTGACTCCAAAGGAAATTCCAACAAATCTTGTCAATGTGGTTACAAGATTGATTGGGAGGGCCAATGCTTGTATCATGTACGTTGGGGTTATAGCTAGGGAGGCCTGAACCATGACTCTCCTCTCAACCATACTCAAGGTGCTAGCCTTCCAATTAGCCAAATTCCTCCCTATATTGTCGATCCCTGAGATAAACATGTCCTTGAATACCCTTTTATGAAGGATGGGTATGCCGAGATAAGATCCCAACTGAGCACTGATGGGAATACTTTTACTACTTGAAAGCATGAAATGTGATTTTACACTTCATTCATATTTAATACACTATGCTTCGTACCCACCCTTGATGATTTAGATTTTTAGATAGTTTTTTTTAGACGCATCATAAGTCCCTAAAAGAGGTCTAAAATAACATTCGTGTAAAAGGTGAAATCCCTCATTTCGAGGCCCCCACATCTCTGGGCAACATAATTGTGCATGGGTAAATCATAGTGACTCAGCTGCCTATTAGGTTGAATGACCAATGTCTTGTGCTCACAATTTGCCACCCAAGAATCAACTAAACTACCTGTGTGTGCTCACAATTTGTCACCCAAAAATCGTCACATGTGAATTCTTTGTTATCTCACATTGGTGATGATAAACTTAGGGGGCGTTTGGTTCACTGAATCTTGGATTACCCCAGGTAATAGGATTACTTCTAGAATGTATTGTAAGATTTTGGGAATGTAAGATTACCTTGTGTGTTTGGTTTGGATGGTGTAATATAATATTACCTTGTTTGGTTCAGGGTTATATTTTAGGTTATATGGATCAATTTACAATAATGCCCTCAATAATATATATATATATATATATATATATATATATATATATATATATATATATATATATATATATATATATATATATATATATATATATATATATATATTATGTGTGTGTATTTATTTATATCTATGAATGTATATCCAAGCTTAAATATTAAAAAAAAAAACTACATATATAAATATACACATGTATATTTGATTATATAAACATATATTAATTTCATTATTATTATTATTATTATTATTATTATTATTATTATTATTATTATTATTATTATTATTATTATTATTATTATTATTATATAAGGATTAGTTAACAAGGGCAAAATTGGAATAATTCAAGGTAATCTAAGATTACCTAAAAAAAATGGGGGTAATCACATTACCTTGAAACATTACCGCCACATCAGCTTTCAGGTAATATAACATTACCTGGTAATCTCATGACTTGAACCAAACAAGGTAATATAACATTACCAAACTCAGATTAACTAGGTAATCTAAGATGACCTGAACCAAACGCCCCTTTATAATCAAGGACAGTTGTCAAATCTTGTCTTAAATTATCTTTCCCTTAAAATCAGAACAACGGTCACATAATCAAGTTCAATCTCCACATTTAAAATACCACTTCCCTTGTCTAAGACCTCTCCTAATTCCCCTAAAACTCTGTCAATAAGTTTGACAGTGAATTAATACTTGTTTGCCAAGAAGATAATTTGCCCTTGCTTTAAATTATTACTTGTTCCCATGTTTTTAATTAATCACTTCAAATAAAAAGAATATGTTTTTACAAATAGTTAATTGTGAGGGTTGATACCTTTAAACATTAAAAGAAATTTAAAAAGCTACTCCGTATTAATTAGAATATGTATGCCGGCTTGCATAATTTATATAGTACCCTGTATAATGTGTACAAAAACGGAGTAATATTCATTGAAAACATCCAAAAAGCACACACCATTTCTTTAAAAATATTTGCTACAAAATCGTCAATTTGTCACCATCATTTTAATCCCTAAATACACAACTTCAATAATTTAATGCCAATGAAAACTTTGAGTTTACGTAACAATGAATTAGCAAGTAAATTTGAAATTTAAATCAATTTCAGGCAATAATAATAATAATAATAACAATAATAATAATAATAATTCAAAATTACTTGTTATCAGTCATTACAGAGTGGTGAACGATCTGACCAGGCTGGACCCAGAGAGCAACATTTATATGTAGCCTGTAGGCATTGTGCACTCCCCCACTCCCCACTCACGTGCTTGCCCCCCTTCTAATTAATCAATTCAATAAACTTTTTTTTTTTTAAGTCAAAAGAACAAAAAATTTGCAATGGAAAAAACTAAATCTTTATAACTTTGATTTATAGCGAAATTCACAACTTCTTTTTATTTTATTTTTTTGACGAGGAAATTCACAACTTCTAGGCACTTGAGAGAAGTTATCATGGGCTAAAGAAGTAAACTAATTCATGTTTACTATATTCAAAGACTAGACAATTTTAATAGAAAATCAAATTTGTGGTTATTAATCTAATTTGGACCAACTAATTATTTGGTCATTAAAAAAGAAAAAAACTCTATTCGTCTCATTTTATGTCTTTGATTTGATTAATGAGATTTGACTAAAGTTATTTTTAATTCAATTTATCATAATATTAAGTTTAATATTAATATACAAAATTCATATATTTAGAAACTATATTAAAATATTATTAAATATAAATAAAAAAAATTAAGTAAAAAATAAAGGGTTGGTAGTAAACAAAATATGTGAAATGAGACAAAAGAAGAGTATATATCATTGACATGAAAGAATTTGAATTTTACAAGAATCACCACTTAGTTTGACGCTGAGTTTTGAAAACACGAATTTTGAAGTTAAAAATGGAGGCGAGATGATGGAATGATGGTAGTTGGTTCACGAAGATTGTCAGGTAATATTAAAAAAAAAAAAAAGGAAGGGAATGAAAACAGAGATAAAAGCATTCAAACAAATGAGAAAAGAACACGCAGATGAAGAAATACATACATACATTATACATACATACGCCCATGATATATAGTGGGAGAAAAGGAGAGTGAGTGATGTTTGTCTTGTGGGGTTAGTCTTGTGTTCCACCATTATTAATTATACTCTCGTGGATTTCAGCGTTGTTTTTCAAACTTCCTCTTCATACCCGCGCTCTAAACCCAGCATCCGTTGATTATTTTAACCCCACCCCCCATCTCCTCTTTCTCAAGTTTCCCCTCCCCGTTTCTCTAGATTTACGTATTTCTTGATTCTTGTGTAATCCTGATCAGGTTGGTTTATAAACCCAAAGGAGAATCCGACTTGGGGTCCGAATCCGAGGCCGAGGTTTAATGGGTATTTGGGTAATGGCTGTTCTGTTTGGGAAGAAAGATGTACAGTGAGTGATTGTAAAGTGGAGAAAAAGGAGTGAAATAGTTACCCCCCATTCTTTTCCTATTTTCCCTTTGTTTCTTTTTATATATTCTTCACCCAAAAGGATATCTTTTACTATAGTATGATAGAATCAGTATTGGTGGTAAAGAATGCAGAATATGAAGAAGAAAGTCAGTAATGGAAATGGGAATAGCAATGAAGCTTCAAAGCCTAAAGAGAGACATATTGTTTCTTGGTCTCAAGAGGTCTGATATCACTGCTTTTAATTTTTGAATTTTGGAGTTACTGTCTGTTGTTTTGCTGGGATTTTTTATTTTTTATTTTTTGAATTCTTTATCTTGATTCTTGTTTTCTGATGGTTTGGTTTGAGTTGCAGGAGGATGATATACTGAGAGAACAGATTAGACTCCATGGAACAGAGAAGTGAGTCTCTAGCTGTTTGATTGTAACAGTATTCTTTTTGTTTTGATAAGAAGTTGCTTCAGTGGGTGATGGATGAAAGTGAAACTGTAATACATGATTGGTTGATTGTTGTTTTCATACATTTATGCAGTTGGACAATCATTGCATCAAAATTTAAAGATAAAACAACCAGGCAATGCAGAAGGAGGTCAGTTTTTAGCTATTTTCTTTGTTTTCCCTGCTTTTTGTGGATATTAATGGATTTTGATTTTGAGGTCTCTGTATACTTGTCTTTTTTCAGTTGAGTGTAGTCTCATTTGCTTTTAGTTGCTTGTGCAGATGGTTCACTTATTTGAACTCCGATTTCAAAAAGGGGGGATGGTCACCTGAAGAAGACGTGCTCTTGTGTGAGGTAAAATTGGTCCTTTTCAACTCTAATTGCTCTCTCTCCATGCCTCTAAATCTTGGTTTTGAAGGTCAAGTAGTTTCTGTTTTCAACCTGATAGTAGGGGGCATATGATTGATGGGTCTGTTATATATGTGATGACATTTTACCTAAATTAGTCTAGAAGAATTCTCCGAGTGATATTAGTTTAATTTCATAATCTGATATAAATAAGACTGTGTGCAGGCTCAGAGGATTTTTGGCAACAGATGGACCGAGATTGCCAAGGTGGTCTCAGGCAGGTAAGTGGAACATTGCTTCGTTTACTCTATATATATTAGCTTATATGATATGATGTTTTAATGCCTTTCTTATATGTTCATCCAGAACCGATAATGCTGTGAAGAATCGATTCACTACCTTGTGCAAAAAGAGAGCAAAGAACGAGGCCTTAGCTAAAGAAAATAACAATTCATTTATTAATCTAAACAACAAAAGGGTTATCTTTCCAGGAGCTGGATCTCCGTTTAAGAAGCTGAGGTAATATACGCAGATGCTTCAACTACATTTTATAAGACCACAGTTTAGTAAATAACATGTACTATTGTGTATAGGAGGAGCCACATATCGGATCTCCCAGAAAATTGCAATAGTGGAGAAAAATCACTTGTGACTTGTAATGCAGTAAATCAGCTGCAAAGATCTCCATTTTCAGTACTCCCAAATGTTGGGAGCAGTTTACCGACCAATCAAAATGTCAGCATTAAGGATTCACCTACCAATGGTAAATATTTCATTGAAGCTGTTCAAAACTTTTATAAGTTAAATTCGTGCAAGAAATCATATGAAACTATTTTGATTTTTTTAAGTATCTTTTAATTTATTCCATGATTTAAGACAATTAACTAAATCTTGTATTCTTATTGAAGGAACTTTTCTTAAGAAGGATGATCCAAAGATACTTGCACTGATGCAACAAGCAGAACTGCTGAGCTCCTTGGCGCTCAAAGTGAATTCAGAGAACTCACACCAGAGTCTTGAAAATGCTTGGAAGGTAAGGAAGAATATTATATTGTTCCATTTCCAGGTTAAAATTGTATTTTTGATGTCAAGAAAAAAGCTTAGAGTGAAATCAAGTTATCAATTCTTTCAATGTGTAACTCTGCTATGTCCTAACACAACAAGAATGGTTGTTCAGGTACTTCAAGATTTTCTCAATCAAAAAGAGGATGATGTGCTCAAGGGCAGAATTTCTGAGATGGATTTTAAGGGCTTAGCAGAGGATTTGAAAAACATTAATGTACCTAGTCAATCTTGGAGGTATTGTGACAGGCATGCTATAGTTTCCTTAGCCATGATTATCCAAGAATGAAGTGCCTAATTTATGGTTTTTCAGGCAACCTGCTTTATCTGAAGATTCTGCAGGCAGCTCTGAGTATAGTTCTGAATCAACTTTGTTATCCCATGCTCCTGGTGATAAGAAAGAACAATGTGAAGCTGAGGTATCTGCCTTGCATCAGGATATTGAATCTGGGTTACAATCGACTGAGATAGGGGATCGAACCACTATAAATGCATTTTCAGGTGGAACTCCTGCCAATGCAACTTGTACTGAAGGTAGAAAAGATTTATACTTTATTGGGAGGGATTTTGTGATGCAAACCTGGTTGGCCCGATCTTCTCTTCACACTCTAATTTAAAGAATATTTTTAAATAATTTATTAGGCTAGGTTTAACTTGGGTTGGGAAAAGGGTTAATTTTTGGCTTTTCCCAACCAAGTTAAACCTCCAGATTCGATTTCACCTAGCCTAATAAGTTATTTTAAAATATTCTTTAAATTAGAGTGTGAAGAGAAGAGCGGGCCAACCAGGTTTGCATCATTTTGACTTGCTTTAAATCTTCAAATGTATATTGATGAATTCTCTCCAAGCGTATGAAATGTGCATCTGTTTTTCAGCAGATATCTTACCAACTTGTGACAAAGTCGGTGCCAATGAGGAAGCAGCAGCTGAAGAATGCAGCTCCCCTCTGCATGTAACTCCATTGTTCAGGACACTAGCAGCAGCCATTCCCAGCCCAAAATTTTCAGAAAGTGTAAGTAATCTAGATTTTTATGATCAATATTACGGTGAATTAGGTACTAATAAAACCAATAACTCAGCAGCCAATTATTAGCTTATTATAGCTGCATATCTGCCAGAACTTGGATCACATCAATAAACTTCCACGCCTTCCTCATATCAAATTATATGTAGCTTTTGTTAGAAAGGCACCTTTATTTGAATTTCCATCATTGTGTCAAAAGAGCGTTCTCATAATAACTGAAATGTCACATGGTATAATGAACAGATACCACAATGATGTCTACTGTCTAGGCAATCAAACACAACTATTGTGGCTAAAATGAGAATTCTAGGATTATTATAGGTTAAAACAAGAGCATAGAAAAGAAGCAAACGCATAAAGGAGATGTTAAGGTAGCTCTAAATAAAATGGAATGAATTATTTTAACATTTACGATGAAGACATGAAATAATTAGTTTTTCCTGAGAAAAATTGATGACATAGTTATTAGTTGAAAGAGTGGAGTGGAGGAAGAAAAACAAGAGACTACAAAGTTATGTTGAAATAAACATTAAATTGGTTAAATTGGATAAAGATGATATATGCATTCAACCTTATGCTAATCTGAATAGATTTGAGTTGAGTTACAGTGACCAGGGATTAAGACAAATTATAACAGCAATCGGGAATTCTTGTTTGCTATTCAAAGGAGTGCTACATTTTCAAAAGACGATGTTTGAAAATCTAGCATTATCTTCCTGAACAATATCAACTGGAGAAGTTGAAGCTTTGCATCATCAACCAACACTTTTCACCATAAAATTCAATTAGAAATATAATGTTTTTTTTTTACATTGCAACCTTGAAAAGATGTTTATCGTAACCTTTTGAGAATTGAACCTTTAGAGTTTCAAGAAACTTGGTTACTGTATTGCTTCCAAAAAGTTAAAAACTTTGAAATATTTTTCCTCGTATATACTTTTGTTTATTCTTATCGATCTGATCTAAAGTAAGATGCAGGAGTGACACATTGATTTGTTTGATTGTTCAGGAGAGACAATTCCTACTAAAAACACTTGGAATGGATTGTACATCCCCAAAATCAAGCATCAATAATACTTCCCATCCTCCATCTTGCAAGAGGGTCCTCCTCCATAGTCTATGACAGACCGACCATTTACACAGATTCTGCGGCACTCAGAATCAGCAGGGAGTTTTTGACGCGTAGATTTCCTTTGAGCTATTTTCTCTGGCTTGCAGTCATTAGTACGACCCGAGTTTTTTCATAGAGGCCTGTGAAGATCTGGTCTGCATTCTAGAATGCTACGGGGCATCCTAGTCTTGTTTTTGGAAGATCTGACAAGATGATCTGCATCCTTTCTGGACTTACTACTACTACTACCCTAATACAAGTGTAGTGTGCTTTTCTGTGTTGTGCCTCATTCTTTGGTGTGTTGATTGGGACTCGGATTAGGGCATTCGATGTTCCCACAAGTTTTCTTGGCATTAGAATGCCAATTGTACAGATCATACAGTGTAATTAAAAACTGGCACCTTGCTGATATAACAGAACCCCAAAAAAAAAAGAGGAAAGAAAGAAGGAAATCTAATACATTTAGAGAGAGACAAAACTGGCACAGAAGGATCAACCAGATGAATTGACCTCTGTGTTTTGTGTTAGAAAATAAGTATTTTTAGTTTTTGGTGGTGTACTAGTGTTTGATTCTTTTTTTTTTTTTTTTTTCCTGATTTATATGTAACATGTAACTCATACTCATTGGGGTGGTGAATATATAATATTGTTTTTGTGTGCAGACATTTCTTCTTTCTTCTTTCTACTCCATTAATGTTCTGAGACTGCAAAACTTGAGAATCAAAAAAAAAATTGGAATGGAAGAGAATGCATGCACAGAACAGTAAAGAATGAGAGAGGTTAGGAGAGAATTGCTTACCAAGAAAATAGTGATGCCTTTTGTGTAGCTATGACATGAGAAGCTTCTTCAGCTCTGTGTTGTCTCTCCTTTTTTCTGAATATGTATTATGTAATGTGGGGAAGGGGAGGGTTGAGGCCTCTCACAAATCTGTTATTCATCTGCCTTTTGACCAGAGGGTTTGTGCTTTTTGTGAATTGTGATGATGACATGCCAGAAAGCTAGTGCTATAACAGGAGGGAAACCTGTGCAAATTAAAGCAATCACTGCTTCAAACCTCTGCATAAAATGTTCTCTCATACATTTTACACCACCAATCACAAACAATGTTGATATGATATATTTTATAAAAAATTAAATTCATGTTGATATGATGGATTTAAGAGCTGCATTATGCTTACTTCCTTGGGCTGACTGCTACAAGTCTTTATTCACATAATTCTTTGGTTATCTAGTTGTTTTACTCTACTTAAAATCAATACCCCTCTATAGTAAGCCACAATGCCATGTTTCGAATCGAGCAGGGGCTGAACTCGACTAACGTCCAACAAAAACACTTATAATTTTTTATAAGGTAGTATTTGTTTCATACTTTCTCATTTTAAAAGATTAATTACATACATCATAATGGCCAATTTCAATTGAATCAATCTTTGGGACAAAAGTGATAATATAATATATGAAGCCTATTCTATGGGACAAAAGTTAAATATCTCATGATTTAAAGACAATTTTGACTTACCAAAAAGGATGAGTTAATTACCGATTTGGTCCCTCGACTATGAGAATTTCACCAATTTGGTCTTTAATTTTCAAAATTCTTCAATTTAGCTCCGATTGTTCTTTTTACCCGAAATGATCCTTAGTGTAATTTGTCGATCAAACTAAAAGGGTAAAATGGGGAGTCCACGGCTATTGTCCTCTCTCTCTCCCCCCTCCCGGTCCTCTACCTCCACCCGGAAGATTTAGCACTGTTCATTAGAGACCTCTTCACTCGCCTCTAGATCGGCAAGCAGGCAGCGGTTTCCAACTCTCTCTCAGCCGGCAGCGTCTCACTCCAACGATCCACCTCCACCTCTGCTATGACTCTGCCACCCTCATCTCTCTTCTCCGTCAACACCGTTGGCGGCCAATTTCCTCGATTTCGACGACATTCAAGCAGCAGGTGACCAAATCGCCTACAATCGCTACAGAATTTAGGAATGTGTTCATACTCAATCCTCTGCCAAATCCACGCACTTCTCCTTCCTGATTCACGACCTCAATCCAAATCTTTTCATCCTGATCCTGAAGCAAATCCAACTCCACCTTCACTCGAGCCGTACTTGGCCTTGTTCGACGAACCGTGGATCAAAAAGATGATAAGGCAATTTTGGCAACTTAAGCCATATGGCTGCGAACGGTAAATCTCTCTTCGAACTCTAATCCGGCGACCAACGAGCGAACTTGGCCCATTTTCCTTCGATTTCTACTCTGCCTTTCGCCAAAATTCATGTACAATCGATTTCTTCAGTAAATTTGATGAGCACATTCCTTGATTCTAACGATCCGATGTGCGCCTTGCCAGAAATAGGTAGGATTTTTTAAAATTGAGCCCTAATTGCATCGAGAAGGCATTTTCATATCCACTCTTTGATCCACGAATCCCTGCTACAGTCTGTCGCCACCTCGCTCACCACCTTGTGCAGATAGGGGTGAGTGACGTCTTCGCCGTCCCTGGTGACTTCAACCTCACACTAAGATGCTTAAAGATCGGATGGTAAGAAATGGGGATGCAAAAGGGTTTCAGTTCCGTTGACTACTCCCTGCTTCGTGGACCAAAGAGTGGAGATGAAAATGAACGAGAAAGGAAATAAAGTGAAATTACAAATCTGTCCTCAATTTATTTGCTTTAAAAACGCTGGTTTGACTATAGGATCAATTCGGGTAAAAAATGCATAATCGGGAACTAAATTGAAAAAATTTTGAAAGTCGAAAACCAAATTCGTGAAATCCAAATAGTCGAAAAACCAAAACGGTAATTAACTCAAAAAAGGATTATAGTTGGTCCACATATTTCCTTTTGCCCTTATTTTAACTTTGAATTCATTTTTTTTTAATTATAAAAGTTATTATTCTAAAGAATGTTTAAACAGATACTACAATGTAATAGAGTTGATAGCATTTAAAAAAAAATAAAAAATCATTACTCTATAGTGTCTTAATATTTAATTTTTTTTCTCATTTTTGTTTCTCTTTTTTCCCGTTTCCCTGTTGATAGATTTCTACACAAATACACATACACAATAGCTAAAAAAAAGACATAAATTCTAAAACCCAATTACTGTGATTCTTTATCTTGCGACTCGCGACTGGTTGATGACCGCACTTGCCTCCAGATCGTAGAGAAGACTCTCCGAACTGTCTCTACACAGAGGTATTGATTCTTATACTTAAGTTTTTGTTTTTGATTTTTTTCTTTGTTAATTGGATATCAGAGTGTCTCAGTTTCTGGACTCAATTTTACCTTTCGCTATTCAATGCTTCATTCATGTCGGCTTAAATTGTTAGGGTTTTATTGAGGAGCAGAGAGAGTTCTGGAGATTTTGAGTGCATTGCCATGTCATATCGAAAGCATTTCATAATCCATTTGAGGTTTAGGTGACTTTTTAGAAGATGACCAGTCCTAGAGCTGGAGCTATTTATTTATTTATTTTTAAAAAAATAGATATCTAACAGAGTGATAAACTATAACTCACTGTATGTTTATGCTTTCTTCTGTTTCAATTTCATACTAGTTCTTTTCGAATTGGGCTATTGCTGGTGTGAAAGATGTTGGCATATATCATACAGTAGTAAATTTACAACTAATTATCTTGATTGATTGAATTTTTCCTGTACTAATGGCCACAGTAATCCCCAATCTTCTTTATCCATCTTTACTCATTACAAGTTCCCAACATTTGAGAAACTGCCCAAGTCCCTACTTCCTGGCAAAGTCTTCAATCCACCCAAACATGGTCATTTGAAGTTTAGCATTTGTACAAGCAACATTTCCTCCACTGGCAGCAAGTATTGAGTTTGAAAATTGTCTGATAGTAGTATTAAAAAAGACTTTGTTTTGGCAGCATAAAACATGCAAAAACACCTTTTGGAAAATCTTTGTCATGTCTAGGACTAATTGATATCAATTCAGTATTTGTAATAAATCTTTGTCATGTCTAGGACTAATTTCTGATAGAGCTGCAAATATTCTGTATCATTATTAAGGTGGATGCAGCTACCCTACCATTGTCAAAAAGTCACTCTCCTTTGTCTTCTCTTTGTATTTTATCAATTAGCTCAACTTTTCTTGGTATTAATAACCATCTAAAATTAGTATTACTTACTATGAGTGTTGCTTTAGGATCAATATTGTGCTTGTTAACGAAGGGAAATGTCTGAGCGCCTTGAACAACAGAATACTGTTGATCCACAGATACAGTCACCTGTGCCGAAGGATGATATGATTGCCTGTGTTATGGCACTAGAAGCTGCATTGCTTCCATGCTTACCTGCCCGAGAACTGCAAGCAATTGACCGTTCAGCTCATCCTTATCACCAAAGTCAGTAATTTCAAGGCCTATTCTTGTTCTCTGTATGTATATGTCCTTTCAATTTATTTGAATTGGATGGAGCCAAAGTAGAAAATAAGAAGTGCTGGTTCATTATCGAAACTTTATTTCATCCTTGTTTATTAAAATAAGTTCATGTTAAAACTATCAGAAGTTAATGAGCTGCAGCTTTGTCATGAGTTTTCTCTATGATGTGTTTTATTCCATTCTTCTTTATGTATTAGATATATAGACTGACGGAGCCCGTTTTGATGGATCAAATAAAGTAGACTGATGCTGAATTGCTTTGTATTGCAACAAAAAGTCCTCTGTTCTGTACAATATAAGTGGCTAATCCCTTTGATAAATTACCCTAGAGTTAGCAATGTGTCTCAGCCATTTATTTTATCTCACCATTGACTGAGAAAAATGAAGGAAATACAGTTTTAGTAAAAGTACTTGTGTTGAGCTTTTGGCTCACTAGTGTTACCTGCATATATTTTCTTCTCAGACATTTAGAATGATTATTCTCACTGCATTTTATATATGTCAACCTGTCTCATTTTCTACTATTATTATTTCCTTATTAATTACTTTTATTCTATACATACTCTTGCTTAAGTGATTAGTTTTATTACCCGTTAAAAGAGGTTATTCTTCTATTTATTTAGTTGATGTAGAGAGGCATGCTAGAGATTTTATGGATGCTGCAAAAAAGCTTCAACTTTACTTCATTGGATTGCAACGTGAGGATGTGCCAAGTAGGGCAAGTACTCTCCGAAAGGTAAGGATTTGCTTATACCAGACATGCCATTTTATTATTATTTTTTTATTATTATTTTTTTTTTTAATTTTTGGAGTGACGAAGGAAATCCGTAGTCACTACCTGAGTTGTGCACTAGGTAAACCCCGCCTTGTGATCCTAGCCGGCAAAGGACCACAAAGAGGTAAACCAGCCTAGGTTCCTCATTGCTGACTGGCTCAAACCAAAAAGGCTGCGATTCGAACTCGTGAGCTTGTGGTTACAAGTTGTGTTGGTATCTTTAGCTATTTATTTCATTTTTTATTGTTGGTATTGGTGTATAGTGTATTTGAATATGATATGTTGATAGGAGATAGCAAACATGGAAGAAGAGTTGAAAACAAAGACAGAGCTCATAGTGAAACAAGAGAGACTGATCCAAGAATGGAGGAAGCAAGTGGATGAACAATTGAATAAACACAACACCGAGTTAGAAAGAGTGTGATTCTTACTTTATTGCTACCTATGTGATTCAGTTCCATGCCCACAGTTTTTTATTTTTAATGCAAAATTGGTTCTTCTTCATAAATAGCCCTTAGGCCTTAGCTATAAACTCTTTTATACTTTTGTTTCTGACAACGTTAGTTGTATTTTAGGCCTAAATTGTATGAAGAAATTAGTGACCAGTTCTGCTCTTATCAACGCATCTTTATGCGCTATAGTTCTGCAGTGGATTTATACCTATGATGCACGGGAACATGTTTTCAATGGGATATGCGTAAACTTTTTATAGACAGTTATTTATGAGAATAAGCTTTGTACGGAATAGCTATTTTAGGGTCTGCTATTAGGCTATTATTAAGTTTTCACAAATAATTTATTTTCTGTAATGCTAGTGAGCTACTCTCAAGTTTTCACAAATAATTTCCTTTCATAATACTTAATTTATCCTTATTTATTTTTCTAATGTATTATAAATATATCTAATATAGTCACCAATGGACTAATTATGGGTTGGACAAATTTATTCTACCTCAAGCTATAATAGATGTACAATTGAGGTAGTTGCACTTTCAACTTTTACTCAGTAAGCAATGATAAGTTATGTTTATCGTGTGGGTTTTAAAAAAATGTCTACATATTGAGGTTATTATTCCTATCTTTAGAAAGGAGATACACGATTAAATGGTGGTGACGGTAATAATGTTACTGATAATAATAATATTATAATAACGCTATGAGAGAGTAACAATAGTTGTATTGCTTTTGTCTCAGTATAGAAAATACAGTGTCTTTGTCCGGAGTATTGAACGTCCCCTTCCAAGCTGAGGGGAGCCCCTACTTAAACAAAAGCTGCTAACGGTAACAACATGAAGCATAAATGGGGAGCTAAGCCTTTAATTCTCTCTCATCAATGGTGACATCAATGATGGCTTCAATGGCAGTAAAGGTGACAGCCGTTGGAGTTTTGCCCGTTGGGTTTCCATGTGGTGTCGGGTCAGATGCTGCTTATGATCTGGGTCGGGTGCCAACACCATTCCATGTGGTGTCGGGTCAGATGCTGCTTATGATCCGGGTCGGGTGCCAGCACCATTATCCTGTCACCAGTCCCCCCTACTCCTGAGTCTACGGATGTGTTTGAGTTGACTAGGGAGTAAGACTGAATTTGCTTGATATCGTGCAGAATGCCGGTTGATCCCAAGTATGTGATTTTATTTTCCAAATCACACATGAATTATTTTTTTTTTTTATGCTGGACGAGATGGGCTGCGGCTTAGGCTGGCCGAGGTGCGTGCCTCCGGCCGATCACGGCCGAGGCGTCGCCTCGACCGATCGTAGCCGAGGTGTGCACCCCGGACGATCGTTCGTGGCCGAGGCGTCGCCTCGACCGCTCGTGGCCGAGGCGTGCGCCTCGGTCGATCGTGGTCGAGGCGTCGCCTTGGCCGATCGTGGTTGAGGCGTCGCCTCGACCAACCGCGGCCGAGGCGTGCGCCTTGGCCGATCGTGGTCGAGGCGTCGCCTCGACCGATCGTGGCCGAGGCGAGCTCCGGCCCTTTTTTTTTTTACGGATAGGCTGAGGCGCCGCCTCAGCCAGTGGTCGAGACGCGGGCCTCGGCCTGGCCGAGGCGTGCGCCTCAGGCCCCCGGCCGAGGCGTGCGCCTCAGGCCCCCGGCCGAGGCGTGCACCTCAGGCCCCGGCCGAGGCGTGCGCCTCAGGCCCCGGCCGAGGCGTGCGTCTCAGGCCCTAGGCCGAGGTGCTGCGCCTTGGCCAATGGCCGAGACGCGTGCCTCGGCCTGGCCGAGGCGTGCGCTCAGGCCCCGGCCGAGGCGTGCGCCTCAGGCCCTAGGCCGAGGTGCTGCGCCTCGGCCTGGCCGAGGCGTGCGCCAGGCGGCCTTTTTTTTTTTTTTTTTTTTTTTTTTTCGGCTGAGGCGTCGCCTCAGCCGTGGGCGCTGGCCGAGACGCGTGCCTCGGCCAGTGACCGAGGCGCGCGCCTCAGGCCTTTTTGCGGCTCGGCTTGAGGCGCCGCCTCAGTCGTGCCTTGGGCCGAGGCGTCGCCTCAGCCCGCGCTGGGCCGAGGCGTGCTCCTCGGCCTTGTTTTTTTTTTTTTTTTTTGCAATGCGGCGTCGGCCGGCTTTTGGTTGATCGAAGGTGCTGCTGGGAACCTTCAATTTGAGCAAAGTAACCTGGACAGACCATGATTACAAAATATTGTTTACAGGTCTGGGCGGACCACGACTACAAAATATTACTTATAATATCTAATTAAATGTCCTGAGTTCCATACCCGATTGATCATCTTTGCAGATGGTGTGGACTTGTAGGTCCTTTCCGCCAATCTTTTTGCATGCTTTTACGTAACAACTGCGTGCTGCTCGCTGGTCTCCTCTGACGACTCCTATCCCACTCGGAGTAGGGAACTTCATACACAAGTGTTCCACCGACACTATGGCCTTGAGGTCCTCCAGTGCCGGTCTCCCCAAAATGATGTTGTGCATACAAGTGAGTCTTACCACGATGAATTCCACATCAAGTTTGCGAATGTTAGGGCCGTGTCTATCTCCACTGGTAAGACCACTAACCCTTCCGTCGCCACTGAATCACCCGTAAATCCAGAGAGTGGGGTACGTACTTCTTTGAGCTGGTTCCTAGGTATCCCTAACTTGGTGAAGGCATCGTAATACATCACATTGACTGAGCTTCCCGTGTCGACTAAGATGCGGCGGACAATGACATTGTTGACGTCCATCTCAATCACCAGGGCGTCATGATGGGGTAACGGGCCCTCTGGGAGGTCATCATTAGAGAAGGTGATGGCCTCCTGTCTCTGTTTCTCTTCTCTAGGAAGACTCACCACTTCTCCCACGTATAGCTGCCGGCTCCACTTCTTTCTTTCCGCAGGCGTGTGACCCCCTGCGGGTCCACCATAGATAAAGTGTATGGTGTGCTTCTTTTGTCGTCTGGGCGCCACCTCGATTTCTTTCTCGCTATCATTCTGCTAAGATATTTGGTCGTGTTCTCTTTTTTTGGCGTTCGAGGTGGATGACTCTGTGCTATCTTCATTCCTCCAGACATTTTTTGGTGGATTGTGTTGCGGCTGTTGCTGCTGCTTGGATCGCTTGACGAAATGTCAGAAGTAGCCCTGTTGGATGAGTTCTTCTATTTGTCTCTTCAAAACGTGACACTCATCCGTATCGTGGCCGGTTTGCCTATGAAACCTGCAGTACTTTGTTTGGTCCGCCTTCGGGGAGACCTTCATGCACTCCTCGGGGAATTCTACCATTCCCATCTCCTCAGCTTGCTTTAGAATGACACTGACGGGATGGGTAAGAGGAGTTAAATTATGCAAAGGGACCAGGCGAGGTCGTTCGTGGTCTCGGCCTTTCCCTGCGGTCGGGTGGTTCGAGAGTGGTGCCTGGCTGGGCGGACCCGCTTTCCCAGGCTTCCCACCTTTCCTGCCATCCTCTTCGTCCTTCTTCTTCCTGTCGACGTCCTCTGCTTCGGCATAGCGGCTAGCCGTCCTTATCAGATCTTCATAAGAGCGGGGGTGGTGGGCGTTCAGCTGCTTGTGGAAATACCCTGATCTTAAGGCATGGATAAATATCGGGATCGACGCCTTGGAGTCGAAGTCGTAGACATTATTAACTTCCTTTTTCCATTTTATCATGAAGTCTTTGAGGCTCTCGCCTCTATCTTGCTTCACTACACAGAGGTGAGAGAAGGGTTTCTTACGCTGTATGCTACCGGAGAAGTATGTCAGGAAGCTCTTGGACAACTCCCAAAAGTTTTGGATCGACCCATCCGGGATGGTGTTGAACCAATCTTGGGCCGCTCCATCCAGGGTGGACAAGAACGCTCGGCACATGATGGCGTCCCCTGCCCCGATCATTACCATAGCAGCCTTGTACCTCGTCATGTGGACAAGTGGGTCAGTGACCCCCGTGTACTCCTTGATGGCGGGCAACCTAAAGTCCCTCGGCAAAGGTACGTCCATGATACTTGGGGAGAATGGTGCTGCCATCCGTACCTCGGGTTCCGGCGACTGCTCCCGTGCCTCCACCCTTCTTGCTAACTCCTCGATTCTTCTCTGCAGCCTCTCGACCAGGGCCGACTCGTCAGGATGCCAGCGTGGGGCCGGCTGCCGTTCCTCCAAGTGTCGGTGTGGAACCCGGTCATCAACGCGTCGCTTCCCCGCCGAGTGCCGACGCGGAGCTGGCTCTTCGACGCATCGCTCCTCCAAGTGTCGACGTAAGTCCGACTCATCAACGTGTTGGCGTGGGGTCGGCTCCCGAGACTCGCCCACCTCCTATGTGGGTGATCTCTCGGCTTCTCTGTTTTCGTGTTGGCGAGGGCCTCTGGTAGAGGACCCCTCGGCCCGTGATCCTAATCTTTGCCGCACGGGCGCCCTCTGTCCCAATCGTTCTGGTGCAGATTGGGAAGGGCCTGGTTGTCGTCTGGTCGGTCCACTTCTTTGGGTCTCCACCCCTATTTCCTGGGGCCGCGGGGGTACTTGGCCTTGCAGTCCCACCGCCACCTGATTTAGCGCCGCCGTCACTGCTTGCTGAATGACATCGGCGGTCGCCTGGAGGTTCACGGCTTGGTTCACCCCTCCATTGTTGAGTTGGTCTTGAAGGTCCCCGGGCCTCCCGTTGTTGAGCTGTTCTCGGAGGTCCCCTCCGCGATTGTTGGTGAGTTGGTCCCGGAGGTCACCTGAGGCATTGCCATTGTTCACGTTGCGGGAACCGTGGGAGCTGCGGGACACCATTCTTTCAAGCTTGCTGTTGAAAGAGGAAAAGAGTTGTATGTGTCGTCGCCTGCTTGAGTGTTGGACTCAGGCTCTCAATGAAAGCACTAATGACGGTAATAATGTTACCGATAATAATAATATTATAATAACGCTATGAGAGAGTAACAATAGTTGTATTGCTTTTGTCTCAGTATAGAAAAACAGTGTCTTTGTCCGAAGTATTGAACGTCCCCCTCCAACCTGAGGGGAGCCCCTACTTATACAAAAGCTGCTAACGGTAACAACATGAAGCATAAATGAGGAGCTAAGCCTTTAATTCTCTCTCATCAATGGTGACATCAATGGTGGCCTCAATGGCAATAAAGGTGACAGCCGTTGGAATTCTGCCCGTTGGGTTTCCATGTGGTGTTGGGTCAGATGCTGCTTATGATCCGGGTCGGGTGCCAACACCATTTCATGTGGTGTCGGGTCAGATGCTGCTTATGATCCGAGTCGGGTGCCAGCACCATTATCTTGTCAGGTGGAATAAAACATGCATAGATAATTG